ACGACGTTTCGGTCCGTGCTGGACCATTCTCAAGTCGATTGTGAGAATGATCGACTTGAGAATGGTCCAGGACGGACCGAAACGTCGTCGTCCCTTCACCTTCTAGTGTGTGGTCTGGTCAACATATTTTTTCCTCTATACTCCGCATTCGAGATGACGTTGATTAAACTAATACATTTTCAATAAACGAAATAAGAAGTGATGTTATAAAAAGACCTAAGACTGCTTATGACACGCACATGTTTGTTATATAAAAGGGGGTCCGTTTTGCATCATTTTTTATTTGTTATTTATTTATATATACAAGAAGGTACATTGGGGTTTATGAAGGTACATAACATTGATTTTTTTTACAGTCTTGCAAGGCCACTAACACGCATAGCCTTTCGGGCAGGTCCTTAATCTAACACATAATTATAAGTAGGTAATTTATAGCAAAATTTGAAGAATATTAATACGTACATTGTAGCAAAATTTTATGAATATTAATAGGATATACTGTGAAGTAAAATTTGATTATTAATAGGTACATTTATTGTAGTGTAATTTGAAGATTATTAATAGGAACATTGTAGCAAAATTTGCGTTTTGCATAACAACTATGATGTAAGTTGATAGTAGTGATTACAATGGTGAGGTTGCATGTCTTAGGCACATATATTGGAGGAGTGAGTAGCACAAGATACAGTGCGAGTTTGAAGCACTAGGTTAGACACTGTGAGGATCAGATTAGGTACTGTTTGGTTTTACTTTTGAATAAGGTGTAGGTTGGACAACTTTTTAAATTCGTTAGGGAGTGAGTTCCATAGACTAGGTCCCTTTATTTGCAGTGTGTGTGTGCACCAATTTAATTAGCTTGGGGATATCAGAGATATTTATTACTGGTGTGGTGATTGATGGTTCTATTACATCTGTCAAGGAAAAGTTTCAGATCAGGATTTGTATTTAGAACAAGATTTTGTACATGTAAATAGCACAAGAGAATGTTTGGAGCGAGTGTATGTTTAGCATGTTTAGGGATTTAAACAGAGGGGCTGTGTGGTGTCTGAAAACAGTTTGTTATTGTTCTGATAGCAGATTTTTTGCTGGGTGATGATGGGCTTGAAGTTTGCAGTAGTTGAACCCCCCATACCGTATTTAAGATAAGGATAGATTAGCGAGTAGTATAATGAGAGGAGAGCAGAGTGGGGAACATAATATCTGATTTTAGAAAGTATACCAACAGTTTTTGAGACTTTTTTGGCTGGGTGTTGCATGTGGGTGCTGAAGTTGAGTCTCCAAGGAACTTATCATTTTTATTGCTGAACATTATCTATCTGAAGTTTAATTTAATTTGATGATTTGCTTCCAAATAAAATCTAGTAGGTCTTTTCTATGTTTAGTGTGAGTTTGTTGGTTGACATCTATATGTGGACCTTTTTTAATTCATTATTCAGTGTGTGTGGGTTGAGGTCTGAGTAGATGAAGGTAGTATCGTCAGCAAATAGTTTAGGTTTAAGAATGTTAGAGACATTTGTCAAATCATTGATGTATATAAGAAATAAGAGAGGTCCTAGGATGCTGCCCTGCGGCACTCCTACGGTTAATGGTAGAGTAGGAGAGGTTATATCATTGATGGCTACATATTGGTGTCTGTCACTAAGATAGGATCGAAAATAGTCCGGAGCAAGACCTCGGTTTCCATAATGGTGAAGTTTAAGTAAGAGTAGTTATGGTTAACAGTATCAAAGGCCTTTCTCAGATCAATGAAGAGCCCAATTGGGAACTCATTTTTGTCAAGGGCTGAGTACACCAAGCAGACTAATAATTGCATTGTTGGTACCCTTTATGAGCGGAAGTCAAACTGACAGGGGGCTTAATATGTTGAATTTTACAAAGTAGGAGTAGAGATGTTTGTAAATAATTTTTTCAAGTATTTTTGATAATATAGGTAGATTTGATATCGGTCTGTAATTTGTTAATGTCAGCCGTATCGCCTCCTTTATGAAGTGGCGTTACTCGTGTGTTTTTTAAGGATATCAGGGGCAATTATTATTATTAACATCTTTATTGACACAATTTAATAACAATTTTGCCTAATCTGAGAGTTTAAATTAAGTCTTATTAAAGTGAGTGAGGATAATGCTGGTATTCACTGTCACACAGGACAGAGGGTCATTACCATTATCTTGAGATTATCTTGAGATGTTCGGGGCTTAGTGTCCCCGCGGCCCGGTCCTCGACCATGCATCCACCCCCCAGGAAGCAGCCCGTCTCAGCTGATTAACTCCAGGTACCTATTTACTACTGCTAGGTAACAGGAGCATCAGGGTGAAAGAAACTCTGCCCATTGTTTCTCGCCGGCGCCCGGGATCGAACCCTGGACCGAACCCGGGACCACAGGTTCACAAGTCCAGTGTTCTGTTCGCTCCCGCCGGCTCCCAATTCCATAATTTCATTTTAAGGGTATCAGGACATCGAGGATTATGTCTCCCCCATGCTATATTTTCACCCAATACACCGAGCAAAAAGTAGTCTCAATAGCAATAATAACATGATGTACGGGACGCATCGGTGTGTTTCTCTCCTTCAATGTGTGTGTCTGCGAGACGGCGTTCTCAGAGGTATTCACGTCTCCAGACACTTATCAGGGAGGCGTTCATTAAAGCAGCTTTCACAAGCCCGAGCGGTAATGATACACACAAGGGAGAAGCGCCGCTCGTGTGCGTTCACGTGTCCCCGGTAGCTGGCGTGATGTTCATTAATGGATTTCTTAATGTGCTGGGAGAAAGACACGCTCAGGTGGAGTGAAATGGTTGGTTCATTATTTACAGAATATTCTTTCATTGTTAAGAAATCTTCATATTACATCTTCATGTTCCGATTCCTTCTCTTGTTTCTTATTGATGCTGCCATTACTCATCCTTTCCCACTCCTATTACATCCTTCTTTCTCCAGTTCTTCTACATTTTCCTCTTACTACTTCTCTCTCGAACCATCAACCCCCCCCCCTACCCGTTGTAATTCTTATGCACAATTATTCCTCTTCCTTCTATTATTAACCGTCTGTACCTGATTTCATTCTTCTGCTACGCCTCCAGCTCGAAAATGCTCTCCAATGTACTATAGACCTGCATAAATTTTTAAAAAGTTTTCAATATAGCACAACGTCATTTTTTAAACACATTTTTGGTATTGGAAAATGCATAATCCTGGATCCAGGACCGTCTTGCTGATAGAAAATTGGGAATAGTTTTAAACGGTAAAGCATTCAAATGGCTGAGCTTAAAAAGTGTGATTCCTCCTGGTTCAGAGGAAGCAGAGAGTAAGGAGGAAGTTTTTTGGTTTTCAATAATACGGAAAGTGATCCAGGTAGAACTTGCAACTTGTTCAGGCATTATAGTTTACTTTTTTATATAGAGAAGATAGCCGGTTTACACCCGATGACGTGTTATATTATGACCAAGCCACACACCAGAAGATGAAGAAACGTGAAACGTTTCGGTCTGTCCTCGACCATTATCAAGTTGTATGCCATGATAATGGTCCAGGACGGACCGAAACGTCGTGGATCATCATCTGACGTGTGGTCTGGTCATCATATCTTCAGCCACGTTATTGTGACTCATCGTCTGCAAGTGTTATATATTCTGACCACGTAACTGTCCTTCCCAAGGATGCTCATGCTAGTACTACTGCTAATCTCAATAGTTCAGGAGCCTCCGAGCTATTTCGGGGCCTCCAGAACATCCCAGTGAATTCAGTAGAGTTTCAGGATGGTCGACGTTTATACCATCATAGTCAAATCGGTTAAGGCAGGTGTCTGAGAATCACCTGAACGCGGGTTCAAGTCACTCCATTGCCTCAAAATGATTTTCACAACTGCTAATACTGCTGATGTTTATACTGCAACTTAAGTTATTTTTTTCTACTGCTACTCCTGTTGATAATGCTTCTAATGTCGTTACTGTTACACTACTACTGCTATATTATTAGTGTTTGCTACAACCTGTATGGCTCCTTGCTACAAATATTATTAGTACTACTGTCCCTCACTTTATTTTCATCCTTATGCTGCTCTTGCTACACCTTTTTTTCACTTGATGCTTATATGCTTAATTTTCCTTCCCTTCGTCCTGCAACATATCTAACCCAAATTCTTAATGGTTATGTATTTCTCACTCTAATATTGTTGTTGTTTAAGATTCAGCTACTGGGAACAAATTTCCAAGTAGCACGGGCTATGGTGAGCCCGTAGTGGACCAACCCGTTCTCGCAAATTTAATAAGTCAATATTGACTTATTAAATATGTGCATAGGTGACATACTTAACATAATAGTTTCCCTTGAAAAGCTTCATAGAAAACACCGACCTTACCTAACCTACTTAATATGTTAAGATAAGCATCTTATTGCTTCGTAATTACAATTATTACCTAACCTATACCTATAATAGGTTAAGTAACAATTGTAATTACGAAGCTATAAGATGCTTATTTTAACATACTAAGTAGGTTAGGTAAGGTCGGTGTTTTCTATGAAGCTTTTCAAGGGAAACTAATATGTTTAGTATGTCACCTATGCACGCAACTAATAAGTCAATATTGACTTATTAAATTTGCGAGAACGGGTTGAGTGGACTTACCTGGCACAGGAGCGGGGCTGTAACTGTTCTCACTCTATAATACTGCTGCTTCCTTTTATCCTGCTGCTGCTGCTACCTCACGCATCCATCTCTCTGCTGCTGCTGCTCTATTTACACCTCTCTTCCTATTAATTAGTTTTCCTTTCACTCGTTTTTTTCGTGTAAGACGCCAGGAGGTGAAAATAAATTAATCCTTCTCTTCTTCATAATTCTCTCTTCATCTCTCCTCCTAATCTTTTCCCTTATGTTCATCTACGGCATCTTGCCATCTTGCTCTTTTGTTATAGACTAAACCTTAACATTTAATATTAGTTTGTATTTGAGAACATAATTGTGGGGTTGATATTAACGCTTTTCTTTCCTTTTCTTTTTGTAGGTGGATCTTCGTGTGTGTTCACCTCGTGACACGAGTAAGCAGAACACCGAACTTTCTGCGCACATCGCCTCATACCAGGTAATGAAACGAGTCAATTTTCCTCATGAAATAACTGTGTGCCCAAGATTACAACCAAGTGCCGTCGGGACGGTGGGGAAAATAGCCTCGGCTACCATCGTCTTTTGTACGGTCACGGTTGGTCGAGTGGTTAAGGTACCATGTACACTAGTTGCATAGTGCTCCTGGCTATCTGGGTTCGAGTCACTTCTGGGGTGTGAAGTTTTCAGTTGCATATATGCCTGGGACCATTCAAGTTTGTTCGTATATATATATATATATATATATATATATATATATATATATATATATATATATATATATATATATATATATAATATATATATATATACGAACAAAGATTATCTTATATATATATATATATATATATATATATATATATATATATATATATATATATATATATATATATATATATATATATATATGCAATTGACGATCACAAAACACTGATCATTTTATGCGGAAAATCCACAGAGAAATATGAAAGGAGGTGAACGTTTCGGCTTTGTTAAAGCCTTTGTCAACACCAGACTGACTAAGGAGAAGGGAGAAGGGGAGGATATATAGGCCGACACCTGACCAACCCATCCCTAGGGTTGGTCAGGTGTAATTAACCAAAAAAGGTATAGCTTAGCTTAGAATGGTCAAAGAGGATTAAGCGGTCAGAGAATAAGGATGAAAGATTAAAGAAAAGCCTCATGAACACACAATATATGAATATACAATTATAATGAGACATTGTAAGCCTCTCCATCAAAGTTGTTTCTTAAACTGTTGTGCAATATTATAACCTAAAAATGGATCAAGTTTGTACATTCCAGTACTAACATTAAGAAGATTTGGACACTGACTGATTAGAGCAGACTCAATCAAATTCCGTTCCACGAAACCACGTTCTCGTGCTCGTCCACGTAATATTAACTGGAATGGGGCAAAAAGCATTACCAATTGTGGGGATTTCGTGGAACGGAATTTGATTGAGTCTGCTCTAATCAGTCAGTGTCCAAATCTTCTTAATGTTAGTACTGGAATGTACAAACTTGATCCATTTTTAAGTTATAATATTGCACAACAGTTTAAGAAACAACTTTGATGGAGAGGCTTACAATGTCTCATTATAATTGTATATTCATATATTGTGTGTTCATGAGGCTTTTCTTTAATCTTTCATCCTTATTCTCTGACCGCTTAATCCTCTTTGACCATTCTAAGCTAAGCTATACCTGTTTTTGGTTAATTACACCTGACCAACCCTAGGGATGGGTTGGTCAGGTGTCGGCCTATATATCCTCCCCCTTCTCCCTTCTCCTTAGTCAGTCTGGTGTTGACAAAGGCTTTAACAAAGCCGAAACGTTCACCTCATTTCATATTTCTCTGTGGATTTTCCGCATATATATATATATATATATATATTATCTTATATATATATATATATATATATATATATATATATATATATATATATATATATAGATCATTAAAAAAAATTTATTGATAGATAATTATTAGTAGTATATAATCGTGTACATAATCAGGCAAGGAGTAATATTGACGGTAAAATATCAATTGAATTGATTACAGAACATTATTGATCATAACAGACAATTTAGGTAATGATTAAAGGAACAGACGCTTTAATTTGCTGTCTTAACAACCTAAATGAGCAATTTGACATTGACATTTTGTTTAAGATAATTGTTTAAGACATTATTACCATAGGCTGAGAGTAGATCATGCTTCGAGAGCCGATGTTTCTCTTATCTCTAAAGGTAAAGTACTCGATACTTAATTATTTAAATGTTTCTAAAGTTTGAAGTGTAGTGTTAGTATTTGTTTTAACAAGTGTAGTGTTATTTGTTTCCCCCAAGTACTGAAAGCAACATTTTTTTTCCTTCAAATGTTTAAATTCCAACATTTTTTCCTTCAAATATTCAAATTCCAATATTTTTTCCTTTCCTTCCAACATTCTATTGTCTCATATTATTTCTAAAAGCCACAAATATGTCGATTTAAGTTTATTACAGTCTAGTTGGAATGTTTAGAGTGGTTGTTTGTGGCTCTTTAGGTTAACGTGGGCATGTGTTGCATGGTTGGAAAGGAATATATTTTTGGGCGAGGTTGGTCAGAGGTCACCGTAAAGGTTACCTGCAGCTTGTGGCTGCCGGGTCGATTCCACGTGACCGCTCGTAGAGTACGGGGGTGAAAAGTTGAAATTTAATGTTTTCATTTTGTATGGAACGACGTAAGGAAATATTAGGCTTCTTGACCAGTAGGAAAATAAAATATCAATATTGGAATTATATTTATCTTAATACTATTTTGGTTATTGTTATTTGATCTCATTTTTATTGTTCCCTCTAACTTTTCCTCTATGCTTCATATTTTTCGCCTCCGTTTTGTTTTTTCTGTCTTTTTCCACCATTCTTTACTATCCTATTTTTGTTTGGCTTTTCCTCCCGTGTGAATCCATACCCAGCGAGCCAGAGAGACGGCAGTGAGCCTCAACAATAACAAATGGAAGATGCCGCGTGTCGTACCAGTCCGCCGAGGTGTCGTACCATCTATACACTGTCGCCGCCTGTCGTACGCCCGCCAACACGGCTCACCAACTCCACTAAGGGATGGGTGTTTGCTTGTCAATCTGGCTCCGGTGGAGGAGTTTAGTTTACTTCCCACCTCACACGTGGCTATATTGGCGTGGGGACGAGGTACAGAGGTATATTTTGAATTTCTAGATGAATTTTTTTTAAGATAATCTTTATACGAGTACCAGTTGGTACTCTGGGGGGGGGGGGAGCCAGTCGGCCGAGCGGACAGCACGCTGGACTTGTGATCCTGTGGTCCTGGGTTCGATCCCAGGCGCCGGCGAGAAACAATGGACAGAGTTTCTTTCACCCTATGCCTCTGTTATCTAGCAGTAAAATAGGTACCTGGGAGTTAGTCATCTGTCACGGGCTGCTTCCTGGGGGTGAAGGTCTGGTCGAGGACCGGGCCGTGGGGACACAAAAAGCCCTGAAATCATCTCAAGATAACCTCAAGATATCCTTCTCCGTCCTGCCTTATTCTTATTACTTTATTATACAATTCCAGAAGAATTGTTAGGCATGATTTCCCTTCCCTGAACCCATGTTGGTGTTTGTTTCCATACTATATGTTCACTAGTGCAACCAGTCTTAACCTGATTATTCTTTGAAGTATTGTATAGGGGATATTTGTCAGTGATACTGATCTGTAGTCAAGTGCCTCTTCCCTATCTCCTTTTTTGGAAATTGGTACCACATTTCTGTGGCAGCAACACAATATACAGGGTGTGTGTGATCAGGATCAAGCTCTAGCTCCTGGACCCCGCTTTTCTAGCCATGTGTGTCTAGGCTTCTTAGGTCGGCTTGACAATTCAACAAAGTGTAAACAAAGTGACGTTGTATGACCATACACGACCACCCAGTGACCTTGTATGACCATACACGACCACCCAGTAACCTTGTATGACCATACACGACCACCCAGTGACCTTGTATGACCATACACGACCACCTAGTGACCTTGTATGACCATACACGAACACCCAGTGACCTTGTATGACCATACACGTACACCCAGTGACCTTGTATGACCATACACGTACACCCAGTGACCTTGTATGACCATACATGTACACCCAGTGACCTTGTATGACCATTCACGACCACCCAGTGACCTTGTATGACCATACACGACCACCTAGTGACCTTGTATGACCATACACGAACACCCAGTGACCTTGTATGACCATACACGACCACCTAGTGACCTTGTATGACCTTACACGAACACCCAGTGACCTTGTATGATCATACACGTACACCAAGTGACCTTGTATGACCATACATGTGCACCAAGTGACCTTGTATGACCATACATGTGCACCAAGTGACCTTGTATGACCATACACGAACACCCAGTGACCTTGTATGACCATACACGTACACCCAGTGACCTTGTATGACCATACATGTGCACCAAGTGACCTTGTATGACCATACACGAACACCCAGTGACCTTGTATGACCATACACGTACACCCAGTGACCTTGTATGACCATACATGTATAAAGATACCAACCACATGTGTCCTGATGCACATACAAAGAGAACGGGAGCTCGACCCACCATAAAATTTAATGAATAAAATAGTTAATTATTGAATTAATTACTTTTAATTTATAAATAATTGAAAATATTCCACTTTAATGCCTTTTAATCCTAAAATTACTAGGCAAAATCATCTGTGTCCACACCCTTTACACCACCGCCCATGGGATGGGTATGGGGTGCATAATAAAGAAAGAAATTGAAAGAAATTGAATTGTCTACACCCGCATTTTATTTCCACATTTATCTCAATTGTCTTATGTTCCCTCTGCGTTTTATCTTGAGGTTATCTTGAGATGATTTCGGGGCTTAAGTGTCCCCGCGGCCCGGTCCTCGACCAGGCCTCCACCCCCAGGAAGCAACCCGTGACAGCTGACTAACTCCCAGGTACCTATTTACTGCTAGGTAACAGGGGCATCAGGGGGAAACTCTGCCCATTGTTTCTCGCCGGCGCCCGGGATCGAACCCGGGACCACAGGATCACGCGTCCAGTGTTCTGTCCGCTGAGTCACAGGGTCCCCTGTGGTTTATAATGGCCAGAGACTTATCTCATATCTCTGCGAAATGTTCAATTGTTCACACATTACGTTGGCAGAGAGAGAATAGGTCACAGTAACGGGGTTGAAACAAATAACGCAACTAGAGTGTGGGGTTTCGTCTGTGTACATCAAAACGCTGTGATGCGTAGCTGGTACACTGTTGCGTATTGTGAGTACGTAGCTGGTAGACTGTTGCGTATTGTGAGTACGTAGCTGGTAGACTGTTGCGTATTGTGAGTACGTAGCTGGTAGACTGTTGCGTATTGTGTGCGCGTAGCTGGTAGATTGTTGCGTATTGTGAGTGCGTAGCTGGTAGACTGTTGCGTA